CATGCCCTTGACCGGAATCGAACCTGGGACCCTTGAGTCCACAGGCCGACGCTCTATCCACTGAGCCAAACCGGTTCTGGCGCAAGATGTTTTATGATAAGGGTTTAGTCCCTTCTTAATTGATAACAATACAAATTTTTTAGATAATAGCTTACCTGATTCTGCTTTATCTCCTTTATCATCTGACACACATTTCTTTTTCTTTGATTATTGTTATTTTCTCCTTTGTTTAGTGGAATTATCTCATACAGCTTCTGTGTGGTATTTCTTTGATTTCTCTGAGAATTTATTTTAATGGTTATTCTACTCAGGAATCAAATACTGAAGCCAAAGAAATCACATTAGAATTGATTACAAAGTTGTAATAATGCATTCTCTGATCTCTCAAGCCTAAGACAAACTGTTTAACTTTATTATTTTAAACTAATTTCATATACATTTTATTTTTTCCTATTAATTGAATTTATTGGGGTGATACTGGTTAACAAAATTATACAGGTTTCAGGTGCACAGTTCTACAACACATCATCTGTACACTGTATTGTATGTTCACCACCCCAAGTCAAATCTCCATCTATCACCATTTATCTCCTCTCTACCCTCCTCCACCTCATCTTACCCTCACCTTCCTCTCCCCCACCTCCTCCAGCAGTCACCACACTGTTGTCCATGAGTTTTCTCTTTTGCTCATAAATTTTAAATATAAATTAAAAAGTCCAATACATTTAGAATACTTTTTATTAAAATGCTTTGATGTCAATGTCTAGGTGTTTAAAAAAGCATACTAAAAATACTAAATTTAAATCCACTTCTTTAAAAAAATTACTTTGAAATAATTTTAGATTTGAAGAGCTCCCATAATAGTACAGAAAGTTCATATATACTTTTTGCTCATATTCCTGTCATACTAATATCTTAAATAACCACGGTACATTTATCAAAACTATTAAGTAAATTATAGACTTTATTTAGAGCAAAGTATGGAATGGAAAATTTAAAGCATGTAATACTTGCCCTTAGCTACTCTGTATTCTTCTAGGTGAGACAAACTCTATTTCTGTGTTGTGTTGTTAAATAATCAGAAACAACATGCTTGAGCTCTGTAATCTTAATTCACATAAAGGTGCTGAATGCTATTACGATTTTGATATATTATTTATTGTGTTAATTTTTAAATGAGCATTTAATGAACATTTAAAATTTACATAATTTTACTAGGTCTTTAAGAAGAGACCTGAATAAATCATTTCTCTTGGAATTCATTTACGGATCCTTCAAATGAATATGAACGCTTTCTTAACAGCTAATCAGAAATGTATAACCAAGCACAGTTTATTTGCTTTAGCTACTAGGTTAAATTGGCATAAATAACTTCTCTTTGGTAACTGATAAAATATATTTGTATTCTAATAATTGTTTTTACTATTTTAAAATGTCATTATTGACTTGTAAAATATTCTTTATTTCTAAAACACTAGAGAAAAGTTTTGTAGAATGCTCCAATAGAACTCCCAAAGTTTCATCTTGTTTTATATGGAACAAAATGAGTAAGATAGAAAGCCAAGAGCAACGAGAAGATTTTGACTGGTTTCTTTTTCTTTTTTTAAAAATATATTTTATTGATTTTTTACAGAGAGGAAGGGAGAGGGATAGAGAGTTAGAAACATCGATGAGAGAGAAACATCGATCAGCTGCCTCCTGCACACCCCCTACTGGGGATGTGCCTGCAACCAAGGTACATGCCCTTGACCAGAATCAAACCTGGGACCTTTCAGTCCGCAGGCTGACGCTCTATCCACTGAGCCAAACCAGTCAGGGCTTGACTGGTTTCTTGATTTAGTAATACACATTGTTAAACCAAGAGCGTTTGACTGAAAAGTGATTTAATAATACACATTATTAAAGGTTTGAACAATGTTGTGCTTGTTTAGATTTACCTTTTCTCCTTATATTTTTTAATTTTTATATTTTTATTGATTTCAGAGAGGAAGGTAGAGGGAGAGAGAGATAGAAACATCAATGATGAGAGAGAATCATTGATTGGCTGCCTCCTGAGCATGTGCCCTGACAGGGAATTGAACCGTGACCTCCTGGTTCAAAGGTCAACGCTCAACCACTGAGCCACGCCAGCTGGGCTATATTTTTTTCTTTTAAAAAATTTAAATTAGTTCCTGGCCAGGTGGCTCAGTTGGTTAGAGCGTCATCCAGAAACACAAGCAGACTATTATTTCCCCATTGAATGTGTTTAGTATCCCTGTCAAAAACGTGTTGATAATAGATGTATAGGTTTATTTATGGACTCTCAGTTTTATTCCTTTGTTCTATATGCCAGTTCTAACCTGTCTTGTTGACTGTAGCTTTGTAATAAGTTTTGAAATCAGGAAGTGGGAATCCTCTCACTTTATTCTTCTTTTCCAAGTTTGTTTTAGCTATTGTGGGTCCCTTAAATTTCCATATAAATTTTAGGATTAATTTGTCAGTTTCTGCAAAAAGGGAAAGTAGGATTTTGATTTTCATTGTGTTAAATCTGTAGAACAAAGTGGGAAATATTGTCATCTTAACAATACCTGTGAGCACAGGATGTTTTTCTATTTATTTAGGTGTTCTTGAATTTACTTGAGTATTGTTTCGTAGTTTTCTGTGTACAAGTTCTTCACCTCTTTGGTTAGATTTTTTTCCTAGGTATGTTACTCATTTAGATGCTGTTATAAGTGGAATTATTTTCTTAATATCCTTTTTAGGGTATTCATTGCTGGTGTATAGAGATAAAACTGATTTTTGAGTGTTGATCTTATATCCTGCAACTTTGCTGCATTTGTTTATTAACTCTACTTGTTTATTAGTAGCTTTCTTGTAAACTATTTGTAACTACTTTTATCATTTGCAAATGGAAATCATTTTATTTCTTCCTTTTCAATTGGTATGCTTTTTATTTTCTTGTCTAATTGTTCTGACTAGAACTTGTAGGAAAGTGTTAAATAGCAGTGGTGAGCCGTGGCTGGTGGCTCAGTGGTTAGAGCGTCAGCTGGTGCACCAAAGGATCGTGGGTTTGATTTCTGGTCGGGGACATTTATCTGGGTTGCCAGTTTGATCCCTGGCCCAGGTCCTGGGAGGCAACCAATCAATGTGTCTTTTTCACATCAATGTTTCTCTCTCTCCCTCTCCCTTCCCCTCCCTGCCTCTCTCCTTCCTTTCCTCCCTTCCATCTCTCCCCCTCTCCTTCTCTTTCTCTCTCTCCTTTGCTTCCCTTCAACCTTCCTAAAAATCAATGGAAAAAATATACTCGGATGATGATTAACCTAAAAAAAACAGTGGTGAGAGAAGGTATCCTTGTTTTGTTCCTGATTTAGGAGAAAAACTTTCACCATTGAGTATGATGTTAACTGTGGATCTTTTAATAAATATCCTCTATAATGTTAAAGTTCCCTTTTATTTATAGTTTCGGAGTGCTTCTATCATGAAAAAGTTTTGGGTTTTGTCAGATACTTTGCAACAGTAGAGATGCCCCCCCCCTTTTAATATATTTTTATTGATTTCAAAGAGGAAGGGAGAGGGAGAGAGAGAAACATCAATGATTAGAGAGAATCATTGATCGGCTGCCTCCTACATGCCCCCTACTGGGGATCAAGCCCACACCCGGGCATGTGCCCTTGACTGGAATCAAAACCGGGACCTTTCAGTTTGCAGGCCAACTGCTATATCCACCAAGCCAAACCAGCTAGGGCTTCCTTTTCTTATTTTGAGTCTATCTGCTTTATCTTCTATTTTCCTTTTCAATTTTTTTCCCTTTTCTTTCCTTCCTCCTTTATTTGATACCATTTTTCTT